GAAACAAATCAGGCGAAAGAAGGGGTACCAGCAGCGCAAAACGAGGTAAAATAGGGAATTCGACAACGGAAAGTTGGGGAGCCCCACAGAGTATTTCGGTTTCGCCATTCGGGGCCTTTAAACTAAGACAGTCGTTAATGGGAAAACTTCACTAAACAAAACTAAATCTAATACATAGTAAAAGGGGTAATGAGGGAAAATAAAAAAAGAAATGGTATAAAACTGAGGATGAAAAGAACAGTAGTGCAAATAGCAAGCACTGCATCCGTCCAATTGGTATTGATTATTCTTTTTTTGAACTTATCTTCTTCCTAAGGATTGAAACCCGTAAGATGCAGAGCCATCGGAAAGGAAAACTCATAAATATAAATCCAAGAAATTACAAAACCACATCAAACCCCCATACCTCTATTTTCACACGCACACACACCTCCCATCCTCCCATAAACTAGTACTAACTTTCAGAAACGTAAGCGCTTATGTCGCTGGAAACATACTCTACCGTAGAGTGTTTCCCTTTGGGGGCCAAATCTGATACATCACAAGCAAAACCATACTCTAAAGAAGAAAAACACTAATAATAATAAAAACTTCATTGTCGATATCTAAGTTTAAAGGGCAATATCACTTTTTAGGGGATAATCTTTCTTGAACTTTCGAGCACAGCATCGTCATTGAAAATAATAGTACAGACAAGGTGCCAGACAGATCAAGATTAAGGCAGTGAAAATATTTTATACATAACTATTTTATCAAATCAAAAAAAAAAAGATAACCCTACACATACGGACTATCCTAAAGCATACCAACACTCCTTAAGCTCCAGCACTTTGTGTAATTCATAAGACTAACTTGGTAACCTCCTTTTTCTATAAAAAAGAAAAAGGAAACTAAAGGAGAAAAAAAGGTAAAAATACTACATGGCAAATAATATGATTACATATAAAAAAATGGTAAAAGGCAAAAGGTAAGCTGGTGAAAGAAATAGAAAAGGTCGAAGATGACTAGTATAATAAATCTCAATCGTGTAAGAGGCATGGCTCATTTTGTCTTTCATATGTAAAATGTAAGGTAGGAAAACACACCTGGAAGAAGAGAATACCAGGTTTACAATGTCTAGGATAAATTTACGAGGTCCACCTCAAGCAGTTGTGCCGTGTGGAAGTTCATCTCGTAGTAATCATTTTATAAATTTACAAGCGAACAATGAAATTATCATCAGAAAATAAAGATAACACTGTTCTTCTAGGGGAAGAATTGGTGAGTGTTTCGACCTTGAACAAAATCAATACCTGTTCAGAAAGTGAACGAGGTAAGCAGAAAAAGAAATTAGCCTTTAATATATTCATCATCAATTTTAGCACGATTTAAGGTTTAAACTATCAGTGTATCAACATTCAAAAGGGGACACCCTTCAGCCGCAATTCCGTAGAGCTCAAAACTCGGCCATCCATGGCCTGCACGTACGGAATTACAACGCTCGCAAGCGGTTCCAAATTATACTTGGTCTGTCGCATCTCATTAATGACGTCTACAGCTTTCACAGTCTCAGGAGAAACAATTAAAGCCTCTAACTCGGGAATTAATTCGGTTCCGCCGGCACAATCGTGTATAATCTCGATCTGAAGAACGAGATCGTTCCTGATTTTCCCTAAAAAGCGTCTCACGTTCTCCTTTCGGATATCCACGTCTTGGATTCTTTCAGAAAGCGTTTTGTTCTTTATCATTTCCTTCCCTGTCACCCCTACGAGGAGGGTGTCGGTTGTGTACAAGGCCGCTGCAGCCAAGAGCAGTTTATGGCCATAGTGCAAACGATCGAAGGTGCCGCCGAAGGCGATGTACTTATAAATAGGTTGAAATCCTTTGTTAGTCTTTAAAGTAGAAATATTAAATAATCCAGGAGAGGCTGCACACGGCTCCGCGGTGGAATTTACTGAAGGCACTTCCTCACCCATCGCGATGGAACTTGGTATGACATCCAAAGGGAAAAAGGAGACGTTTTGAAATGCGACGCTGTAAAGATACTGTGCATGCTCGAGGAAAGTCCGACGGTTCATGTCGTGGACGTGGAGAATAACGTCAAGGCCGCATTTAGAAAATGTCGGGGTAGTGGGTGGATCAGCAAGTGTGCTAGTAGTAAACGGTTTGATAAATTGTAGAAGCTTACTCGCGTTAACATCCTTGGAGCAAGATGTGCTTAAATATAGATAACGCAGCATCGCAAATGTATGTAGTCCTATCCGGTTTGTTTATTTTATCCCCTTAGATAACTAGCATATCTATGTTCAAGTTAAAGAAAAAAAGGCAAGAGAACGTGATAACGAAGGCTTACTCTCATCATTGTTCTCATCATTGGCATTCAGTAAACTCTACTCTTATACTTAATAATATCTTCTCTTTGAGGCATACCACTAAAGTTTTTAAATCTCTTTCGTGTAAATCCTCCTTGGGATCTTTGCCCCGTAAAAGAAAAAAAGCGTCAGAGTTAAGCTTACAGAAATTAAGCGCACTTCCTTAAAGAAAGTGATTCCTATCTTTGTACTCTTCCTCCACCTTCGTGCAGTGGTACACTCGAAAGTGGTGGTTAAGAGAAGCAATTCCATGGATTGCATGAACAGAGCCAAGTCCACCGTCTACTTTATTTGGAAAACAATAAAACACCCGCGCAATACGGCTATGCACAAGCGCCATGGAGCACATAGTGCAAGGCTCGTGGCTCACATAGAGATCGAGGTTAGTTGCGAGGTAAGGAACGAACTCCCGCCCCTCAATCATCTCTGGTGTAGATATATTTTTAGCCTCTGCCGCCGCGGTGGAGACGCGTTTGAGCACATGAATCACCGGATGCTCGAGAATTACGCCTGTCGAAGTTGGAGGGCAGCGCGATCGCTCGACGTAGGGGCCGCACGCGTTGAGGTTATCTCGACGCATTGCCGTACACCCCGCACTATCCCCCACCCACCGCCCGCAGGAGGGGTCGTAAACGGCGGCCGCGATGCCAAGCAGGGATGGACGCTGCCCTGCGGGGCCTCCTCGCACGAGCCCTTCGCAGATCGCGAGCACCTTTTCCCGCATCCGCGCATTCGCGCCCTCGATAAGCGCATCCGACGGCAGCTCGCAGGGTCGCGGCCGGGGCGAGGCTAGCGGCCAAACAGAATTCCACCGATGCCAGAGCTCCGGCCGCTGCGAGGGGCCGTGGCTCGAAACCACAACGACGCGAAACACCAAGGTCAACCCCCCCATCTGGTCCATGTCACGCGCAATCTCATGAAGAAAGTCTCGGTACATGTTCCTCAACTGACCCTGAAAGGAATCCTTATCCTCCTCACCTTTCTCCATCTCTTTAGAATCTGTCTTTACCTCCTCCATGAGCGGGAAAAGAAGGGGGTCTAGTAGGGTATAAGACCGCCAGAGCAGGTCCGGCAGGGCGTTTTCACAGCGCAGACGAAACCCCACCCCGCCCTCAAGGAGGAGCTCCACCCCTCCCCCGGCCTCGCACGGGGGATCGTCCAAGACGGGCGCGGGCCGCCGTCGAATCCGTTTGAGGTGTCGCGTCCAGTCGTCAAGAGGGTGGAGCTGATTGGCGATGCGAAGAAAGCGCTCGGTCAGTCGGGGATCCGGGACACCCACCACAACAGCTGGAAGACCATGCGGAGGTTCCTCAGAGATGATGACCTCCTCCATTGTGTCACAGGAAGGGGGGGGGGGGGGGAGGGTGAGATAGAAGCAACTTCAGCTAAAAGAACGCACCGTGTTACACATGGAAACCTGGAAGAATAAAAAAAGAAAGGAACAGACTAAACCCATGACACAAGAAGGGTAGGTAGGAATATTTGCCCACATGCGACGGGTCAGAAAATGTTAAAAAAAAGCTTAGAGGGATGCCCATGTTTTTTTACTTTTCAGAATACAAATCGTGAAATATATTCACTGATTTTAACTTTATATTTTTTAAGTATCAACCCATCACTAATCCGGTAAGAAAACAAGATGAATGTGGTTAAGAGCTCCCTTTATAGGAAATACGGTGAATCGAAAGATGCTCGCCAGTGTATCGATCCGTGCAGCACACTATATGCATAAGATCTGCTTCGCCATGATAGCTTTCAGTGGGTTGGTCCTCTAATGTGCTGCCGTTTCCATCCATGCATGTTGTCAAATGATGATATAGATGAAACTCAACTTGAATCTTTCGATAGACATCAGCAATGTCATTTTCTTTGATAAGAACTATGTAGCAGCACCCGTCTCGGGATAAATAGTGGGGTAGCATTTCGATGAAGCGATCAAGCACAACACGCCCACGCTCCCCGCCGCACCACGCAGAGGTGATGAGGTCCTTTCGCGTGAGCGCTTGCTCAAGCTCCTCTGTAGAGGTGGGCACATAGGGAGGGTTGAACAATACAACATCACACGAGCGAACTCTGAAAGGCCCCTGGAGATCCTTTAGAGCATGAAGAAGATCACCTTCTAGGAGGGAAAGGGTATATGGCCACAGTACTGGCGATGCGCAAGAGGATTTAATCGGTGCCTTAGCATCCATGTATATCCCTGCCGCGGCGGTCTCAATGGATGAGATCCTCTCCCCCACTCCTTCCGACTTTCCTGGATACGTGTACAAGTTCACAACATTTGGATCAAGGGTCAGTGCTTCCACCCCTGAACTACCTTGAGATGAGTTATCCTGGACCATAAATTTTTCAACATCCCTCCAGAAGTACTTCTTGAGGGTCCTATCCCATGTAAAGGCGGTTGCCTGGAGTGCCAGTGGGTTTACATCTATAGCGTAAAATCGTCTGCGGTTAAGAGGAATCTGACTAGTGGAGTCTCCACCGCTGTGATGTAAAACGATGGCGGAACTCTGATTTTCATTCTGTATTGAGTCCCCAGAACCAGGGGTGTTGAGAAGATCTATGCTTTGCAGAAGAGCGAACAGGTGAGTAATGACCACACCAGATCCACAACCTACTTCCACAATACAGCAGTCCTTCTTGCACGAAATTACCCTTGATAAGTAGGATTTTTCCCGATCAAGTGACTCTAAAAAAAGAAAAGTATCAGCCTCAGGCTCATATACACTCTTTTGAAAGAGCGAATCCGTAATACAGTGAAAGTACTCCGGGGTCGTGTAAGCGTCCATTGCACGGCCAGACTCCGCTAAATTGTGTCGTAGAAAAAAAAATGGAGCGTTTGATCATACTTATTGAATGTAAACATCTATGCAATCATACAACAAAACGAAGTTATCCAATGGTGACTTTTGAGTGCAAATTTAAACGTTTAACAAGTTTTACGTTATAATTTACAATAAATTTAGGGTCCCCAACAGTCAGTGCAATTCCTGAGATTGGGTCAAAGGTGTCAGACTTCGGGTCCCTGGGCGCAGACGCGCCGTGATTTCCGTATCACTGAGTTCCTCTTTAACACACATAAAAGCAAGGTCCGAGAAGGCCGCCAGCAGGCCTTGCGGGCTTACCCCAAGGGTCGCCTCGGCCGACTCCTCCGCGAGGTCCCGATCCCGGAGCCTGGCATACTCGCCGTCCGCCGCTAACGCCATGGACGTCGACGCATCTATTGGACGAGTTCGAGATCGTGTAGCCTTCCCTCGCGTTTGGCCCCGCAAGGGCTCGATTGCCAAGCAGGACCGCAACCCCTCATGACTGAGACTCCACAGCGCCCACGCGGAGGGCTCCCCCGGGGCGAACGGGAAGCCGCGGAGGTCATTCGCGAAGAGAAGCACCCGACGCAGGGGGAGGGCGGGTTTGTTACAAATATGGCCCCCAGAGCCTGAGTGCCGCTCGCCCTTTGTCGGGGATGATGAAGATGGCCAGTTGGCCACGAGGAGGTTGTGCAGTAAGCCCCAGGGGCAGTGCGGGGCGAAGACGATCACGAGCTGGCTTGTATTCTCTGGACGATAGACCCCACACGTGTTGTGCGTCTCGACCTCGATAGCCAACCGCTGGCAACAAAGGCGATGCAGTGGACCGCAGATGGGGTCGTAGAAGCAGGTGTGGAAATGAATGACATCTTTATTCGTAGGTTGGGAGTGTGAGTGAGGCACATGTTGTTGCGGCGGGGACGACGCGGCGCCATTCATGCCATCCTTCGCATCACACACGGCTCCGGTAGAAACTGAAAGCGATTGCGCGAACTCGCCAGAGATCAAATTGATGGCCCGTTGGCAAGCATCCCGCAAGGCTAGGAAAGCAGACATTTGCAAAAATCCAGCTAAATGTTGTTGTTGGTCCTGTTGTCGATCAAAAGGACCGATACCCAGAGCAATCAAACGAATGGAAGGAAATGGTAAATTTTCTTGATTCTGGTCCTCGATGTTGTTACGATTAGTTTCACCTTCACAAATAGTAGGGTAGAGATGAAGGTCTAAAAAACTCCTTACGAACTGCTCCACGAACTGTAGTAGCTTCTCGAATTGAAGCATATTGTTTGAGCGAAGAGCACACGCAGTACGCCGCAAATTCTTCACCAGCTTCGTAATCTGCTTACCATTTATGGGAACCTTACACTCAGAATCCGAAGCAGGTGTCATGAAATTAGAAGAAAGGGAAGCATAGCGACACCGACGTGAAGGCCGACTTGATGTCTTTTTTCCATCATAGTTAACCAAACGCCACATATGTATATATTTCTATAAAATAATTTGCCATCTTGAGGAAGTCATGAGAAAGATGCAAAAATATGCTCGTACTGTATAAATCCATTATATCACCGTCCTCAATATAAGATCAGTCACTACTTGAAAGGAACAATACATACCCCACTTCATAATTCAGTACAAAAAATGCTAAATTGGGATTTCAACTTCCAATGTGAAGGCTTTTTTTATCGTCAAAATCGTCGCGTCAACCCTTTCCCTCAACCATAGTTCGCTTAAAGTGCAAGTTATAGGTAAATTCTTCGTTCAACTAGCGCCTACAGATATTGAAGACGCTCATCTAAGCCCATGGAAGCATCGTTTTATGGAAGAAACTTCCTCCAATCTAAATATGGGCTACAACTAGCACGAATATGCGGTGGTTTATCGTTTCTTGGTCATCCATCACGGCATTTCATACACCATCAAATGTTTTTTTGACAAATATCCCAGTATTTAGTTATTCCGGACGAAGGTATCCTCCTGATATCGGATGAAGTGGTGGTACGTTGAGCCCGAACAAATGTTTTGAGCGTCGATTTCAATATCATACAACTACTATGAAAATTCGATAGGAATGCTTTTGAGATTGGCTGAGGCCTTGGAATGGACTAAGTACTATTAAAAAGTTCATGGGGAATATCTCATTAAGTTTTGTTAAGGGTTCGCTGGAAACGTAAAAAATAGAACAGTATTTCTCAAAAATAGGCATTAAATGAAAATTATATATGTAAGTGCGGCAAGCTAATGAACAAATGGAATGACATTAGTAAATCAACATGCACAACTCCTAATCATTTACGATGAAAATCATAAAGTTGATGGAAGACGAAGAATTGGCAATATTGTGTGGTAAGTCCTAAGAAGAGGTGAATAAGAGTCAATCCATATGTTTCAGCATCCATAAAGTCATGAATTCGTCATATTTTCGATAACCTCATGGTGTGAAGTTGATAAAAAAGTAATTTGATATCCTAGGGGCTTCAAACAATGTCAAAATTAAGGATTTATATACAGTGTGGTACGCTTTGTGGATTACTTTGCCCTTTACATTGTTTTTATACTGGTAACAGTTTTTATTCGGTCTAGAGATGAAAAATGATCAAATGCACAAAACAGGCATCTGAAATGTTAATATTAATTTTTTTTCTTGAAGAATTAAATAAGGAAAAACAAAAAGAACGAAAGCATTGTGACAACCAAATGCATGTGTAGAACAGAAATCCAAAACTGAAAAAGCCTTTTTGCGTGCAATGCTTCAAAATATTTTTCTTTATTTATTTAAAATGTCTAAAAAAGGCAAAAATAATGCAATTCGGTATTATAAAGATTACAGGAATATATGAAATGACTTACTTTGCCTCCAACTACACGTAGAAGTAGGTGTCAAGAACACGTTGCTTGATCGGTTTACCGGATATTAACTCATAAAACATCATAATCATCCATACAAAGCAAAATAAACAAAGAAACCCAAACAACAAAGTAAGCGGGTACATCCAATCGAACGCATACACTTTGTAAAGAGGGCAGTCCCTGTACTCGTCTGTAGGTCCCGAAATCGATAAAATAACAATTAAAAAAACTTGCAGCAAAATTAGTGGGAAACAAAAGAGACCATACAATACATGAAAACGAACATAAATGTACGTTGCCGTCAGGACGCAGAATTCGATCCATACAATAGCGAAGTAGATTGAAACAGAAGTTTTCACATTATAGGAGCAGCCATGCAGATTGAAAATACAAATCAACAGGGTTGCTAGTGCACCATTCATAAAAGCTAGTGTTTGAAAGATTAAAATACGTGTCATGATGTGGGTTGGCATAGCACTCTTCAGCATCCTTCGCTTCAGATCCTTGCTCATCATAGCAAAACCAAAGCTATCGCACGAGTGGGATAGAACTGCCTGATGGATGTAAGAAAACATGGATAGCAAAAATGAACAAATACCAGTGGTGAGGAGAAAATAGAATGAAGAAGAGATTACAAATCGCACGCCTTTTTCAGGATTATTCATGCTGGAGTTCAAATATACCTGTACAATTAACTGGGGAATAGCATGAAGTAAACCGTTGATAATTTGTTGCATAGCCATGCCATTTAGCAGATCGTAGCGAATAACAAAGTATTGATGATTATTGGGTGTAAGTCGATAACAAAATGCAACGTAAAGGAGTTTGCACTCGTACACCGGAATGATGGGAATGATCTTTGAAAGGTTGCTAGGGTATGACCACAGTTGTTTCTCGTACACCTTGATTTTTCCCTCCTCCAGGTGCATCGTGGAGGCCAAAGTCAGGATGTAGCCCCACACATAAAAAATAATCGTAACGTAAGCTTTATTCTTTTCATGCAACATTATCCAAGTGAATACTGTCCACAGAACGCAGATAGCAAACAAAGCGGTAACTAACATGCTAAGCCAGCCTGTAAAAACACTGGTCGCTACTGTCATTTTAAATATGGGCAGAAACCATGAACGTACAGGTTTAATATCCTTTCGCAAGTGTGGAAAGTCACCGATGAGCTTAACAAATTCAAACCCGGATTTACGTATTAGCGATAATTGTTTTTCAGTAATGCGCGTACTCTTGACATTGCACAAACAAAAGAGATAGTTGCTTTGTTCCAACTTGAGACCATCTTCAGATGGCTCGACATCCATAACACGATCGAACTCGCGCTGTACAACCACCTTCACTCTCTCATCTTCCAAATCAACATGACTGGAATCTAAAAAAGTTTTAATCAGAAAAGGATTCCCTTCCGCCAGCTCAAACACATCGCCCTTAATAATGAACATGCCTGACTTGAGGGACGCTAAGATGATGTTAATGTAAAACTCATCTGGGGTGCGTAGATATTGTAGAACCGTCTCACGAAGATCAAGCAAGAGATTGGGGTTATGCAAATTTATCGCACGAGTGGCATCAATGTTATCAAAAGACGAAAAAGACGAATTCCTTGCCGATGGAAGAGAACAGGAGGAAGCGGTTCGAAATGAGCGCGAGGAAGGGGAAGTTTGATATTCGTCGTACCCCCAATAATGGTTATGAAGGGGTAGCACTTTATTTACAGCAAATGCCTCACCTCGCGCGTTCTTCTCCATCGCGAATTTCTCGCTAAGCTCTCCGTCATCCCCTACCAGACGCTGTGCGCAGCAAACGAGTTTATTGGTAATCCACCTATACATTCCCTCCACTTGTTTTTCTGTACCTTTCCCTCTGTTTGTTGATTTCCGCTTATTACTATGCACGTAATCCTCAACATCACAGATGATGTCCAACGTTAGGTTATGCGAGCAGTCCTCGTCGGAGGAATCATTGAAGGGAATATTAAATTTCTCATCGGCCATCATCCATATTTATAATTGTTTCTTTATTAATAATTTATAATTTTTGTGGGTGGAAAAATCAATAAACTTTGCAAACACAGTCAAAGACCTCCTGAGTTCATATACCACTCTTTTGATGTTTTTGTTAGTAGTGAGGCGAAAGTTAATGCACGTTTATTATAAAAGGAAGCTATCACACTAAGTCAAACAGCGTCCAGTAGCAATATGTATATATATATCATAATCTAATTAAATATATGATGCTTTTGGAATGTAATAATAATAATAATAAGTGTATGTATCACAAATGTGTAACCTAAAATAGTTAATGAATATTTTTGAATAAAAAAAATAATAATAGACTTTTGGCAGAGTACAATGTTTTTCTTTTTAATATAAAAATAATATTCTAGACTAAATAAGTAATAGATTCAAAGAGAGGGATCGGAGTCTTTATACATACGAAAAATAGAAGGTGTAGTATGAAGCACCAATGAAATAAAATGGTAGAATAAAAAATGACAGGAAATTAGCGCTGCTCTTGAATAAATCTCCCTATTAGACCACGAACGCTGGAGATACTAAAAGATAAAAATTATCCTCAAATCTTCCTATTCTATCTCATTCACAGATACTTACAAACCCTCCGACATCTCAATAAGGCGATTTCGAAGCTCCCTTAATTGCTGTTGTTGTGCGGAATCCGCTACCTTCGCCAAGTCCGAATCTGACATCAGCAAAATCCGCTCAACATCTTCCTTGCTCATTTTACCAATCAACTGAATCACCTCTTCCTTTTGGGCATCCGTGGTACGAGCTTTGCTGCCGCTTTTTCCGGTTGAGGAGCTGGAGGTGATCACAGCCACGCCCTCAGCCGAGGCCAGGGTGGGCGCAGAGCTAGCGGAGTCCCCCCCTCTCACCTGAAAAGCCTCCGCAGGGAGCTCCCCGTTCCGCGGAAGTCGCCCCGCGTGCTGCAAAATCATCACGACTGCGGCGCGCAGGGCGGGAATCTCCTCCAGCAGCGCCCTTGCGTCCTGCCGGTGCTCCAGCGCGAGCACGCGGAGCTGCTCGACGGCCTCGTAGGCGTCCTCAACCGTCATCTGTCGCAGCCCGTCCCAGACCACAGCGTCGGCCCCCCCTGTGACGGGCTCGTGGACCCCCCCCTTCAGAGGCCCCATGAGCTCCTTGCCCTCGGCATCCACCGGGGAGCCTGTCCCGGCCTCCCGCCGCCGCTTCCCCCGGCCGTGGCTGTTACAGGTCCCGGTCGGGGAATGGAGGGGGGAGCCATGGTGAGTGCGCAGGGCGGCTGCTATCACCTTCATCGGGCGGCCGCCAAAGAGCATCCCGTTCAGCCGCGTAATGGCCTCCGCCGCGCTTCGGTCGTCGATGTACTCGACAAGACCGCTGCGAAAATCCTTCCCGGGCACAGGGTCAAAGACGCGGAAGTCGATCGTCCGGCCAAAGCTGTCAAAATGGCGCCGAAGCTTGGTCTTCTCCACGAAAAGCGGTACGCCTGTGAAAAAGACGGTTCGCTTTTGCCGCTGCATCGAAGGTTGAGTAGTGACTAGACGCTTTCCTTCTTAAGTAGAAGGCAAAAATTAAACAGACACGCACACACACAAAAAAGGAAAGTCTATTTTTGAGTTTCGAATCACAATGATACAACCTTTATCGCGAGATCTCACCTTCTAATCAAACTTTTACTTTCACCTTTATAGGGGGTTTCCTTCAAATAAATAAGGGATAATAATTTACAAATATGGTTCGTTCCGCATAAATATATTTAAAATGGCTCCTTCTAGCATGCCGATAAGTTATATTAAGTGAACAGTCCAATCCTCGAATAAGAAATTCTAGATCAAATCCTTCAAATGGTTGAAAATGAAAAAATAGAAAACGGATAATTTAACCTATTATAATTCACTTCTTTTCTTTCTTTCTTTCACGCCTCAATAGTCTTCCTCTTCAAAGTCTTCATGGGCATCTTCGATGTGGTACTTGGCTTTGTACCACTGCAATGAATGATACGTCAGATAAAAGCTACCTATCCCATTTCGCACATAATTCGGAAACAATCGCTGGGTATAAACCAGTTTTAGATAAGGGCCAAGGGTAAAGAAAAGGGCGGCGAAAAACCCCAATTTCGCTCCCAACAACGGTTCATGAAGGTATGAAGAACAGCCAGTGGAAATACAGAGTGAATAAGAGATAAAAAGATTGCTATAAAAATTTGCCACACGAAACAACCCATTATGCATAGAGTTAAATAGAAGGGAAGTAAAACATATTGCAATCAGTGGCGTATTCACTTCATATATACTTAAGTATTCACGGCTGTAGGAACTGCCCATATTAACTACTGGATCAAACTATAATGTAAAAAAATATGAATACTTGCATGTATATGTATATTTGAAGTAAAATTCAAAATAATAGTAATCCGATTATGTTCGATAATTGTATCAAACACACATATATCGATAAATGTTTGTTATATTTGAATGCTTCACACTGACCTTAATCCCTATATGCTAATAAATCCTAGATGACGTAATTAAAATGGAACTGCGAAAGTTGAAACAACTTTTAATAAGAAAGAAATATGATTATGAAATAATAATAAGAAGAGTCAAAAAAATGATCATCACAGGAAAAAAATACAGAGGAGGAATATTATTTAACTGAGTTACACTGGAAACACTACATTTAAATTAAATTAAAACGCATTAGACTATATATTTATAATAAATTCCTTTCCATACCCCTCACTTTAGGGTAGATTTTTAATTGTCTTTAGTTCAGTTCTCAAGATACAATTAGAATAATCTCTAAATATCATTAACTGTGCATCACCTTTCAATATTTTTAGATTTTTTTTTATTTATAATGAAAAAGCTCTTCATGCATTAAAGTGAAGAAAAAAGAGGGCCCATAAAAAGAAATAGATAAAAATTATAACTAATTCCTTAACAACAATTCATTCAGCGGAGTACAGAAAAATCAAACAAATGAAAAAAGGTAATTGAAAAAAAACAATATAGCCTTCTCACAATTGCATCAACTGAGCTTTGGCAGCATCTGACAGGCAATCTGCCTCGGCAGTCTTTATCTTCGCAACCACTGCCTGCCAAACAGCTTCTGGGGAGTTCTGCAACACTGGATGATGCTGCGTTATCCATAAAATCAAACGATCATGAACGCGCTTCGCCTCAATGGTATCACCACTACACGGCAGGTTTGTCGTGATTGTCTCCAGCATCGACGTCAGGGTGCTCAAGAGAGGCTGATAGAAGTAATGGAGCATTGAAACGTAGGCGCTCACGGCATTACAGGTGCAGTGCTCGTATATAGGGTCTTTACTTTCATTAGAGCTGAAGTAAGGAACAATGGCGCGCTGTGCGTGAAGGGCGAAGTCGGCCCCATTCACACTCGGGTCCACCTGCGTTGTCTGCAATCCGAGGTACTGCACGAGCTGGTTGATTAAATAAAAATTGCTTTGTAAGAAATCTTCATCCTTGCGGGTGCTCGTGAAGGCCAGAGTGGTTGAGAGAATGGTAGGGAGTGAGCTCGCTACGAAGGCAGGCGCATGCTCAACAAAATCACACAGCACGACCTGCCCACGCTGCACGTTAAAGTCATCCTCGCTCGGCTGCAACCATGCGGCGATGAGAGGCAAAAAGCTCTGCGCGAAATACGGCCCGAAGATCGCACTAGATTTCTCCAAAAGGGTCCCGATAAGGTCCGTGGCGGAGGTGATGCTAGATTTCAGCTCCTCATCCATCTCTTCGAGGTTGTCGATTTCGTCCTCATCTTGCTCTTGGCTCACTTTCGAAACGACCTCCGCGCGCTCTTTGATTAACACAGTTAAGGTAGAAAGAAGCTTCTCACTAATCACGCGAACGCTTTCCTCGGTAACAATCTCCGGATAGGAATCCACGATCGTTCCGAGGATACTCATAAACGTTTCCATCACATCCTTCTCTCCCTCTTCGGCAAGAGCTTCTAGAAGAGGGTTTAGTGTATACCGCGCAAGCTGCAAACCTTCCTGGGATTGGGACTTCTTATAAACCTTAAGAATACCATCCACAATAAGCGCACCGTTTTCTCTGATAGAGGAGTTAGCCTGGAAACTCAGCTGCTCCACAGCGATGTTAGCAATTTCGTAAAAATGAGAGCTAAGGGACTCCCCTAACTCAGTCACAATAGCATTGATAATAATCATGGCCAAATCCTTATCTTCAATGAGAGAAGTATGCACCTTGACAACTTTTTCGCCAGTACCAGGTACAATAACTCGAATACGCTCAATCCCTTTTTTATCGTCTTCTTCAGCGTTCGGGTTGGTGTCATCATCACCTCCGACCTGCACATCCTCCATTTGTAAATCGCACTTCGTGTTCATAACAGAAATAAGCAAGGGAATGACGCCCTGCATATACGGAAGGACTTCATCCTTTAGACATTCTACCATACAGGTCCACGCACGCAACACGAAGCGAAAACGAGGATCATCGTTTGATATCCCGCTCATAGTCAGCGAGGATAAATAGGTGCAGATCTCATGAGCGTAGGGTTTAAATACTTCCTTGCCTGCGCTAGATGCCAACAGCGTGACGCACTCGATGGCCTTGCATTTGCACTTCATCACCTCATGCGTATCAGGCAACCTAAGCACTTCCTGATAAACGGGAACGAGATCATGAACATAGGTAGTGAGCTTGTCCTTCATAGCAGCGGTAAGAGAGGAAAGCATGCCTAACGCGGCCTCACGGACAAACATATACTGCGTGCTATGAATCAGATTCACTGCCTCAATACAACACTGCTTCACGTAGGGTTCAAATTCTTTGACGTACTGGTCATTATTCTCGTCGTCCTCATCCTCGGGCTCGTAGAGTTCATGAAAGAAAGAGTTCAAGCAAAGCGCGGCGCTGGCAGCGACGCGCGGGATGGGATCCCGTAGCGCTTCAATGATCGGCAAAAGCATCTGCGAGTGCATCTCGATCTGGAGATTCGGCCCGAAGTCCTGGCACATCTGCCCCAAACACTCCAAGCTCGAATAACGCACATACTTCACCTCGCTCTTAACGCACGAAAGTATGACAGGCACCAACTCCTTCAATTGCTTTTGGAAGACGTTCACAAAGCCCTCGGAGGTGTAGCAAATGAGCACGAGAGCTGCGCACTGATTCCGCCATTCGGTGCTGAAAATATTATCAGTGAAGATCTTCTGGGCAGTGCCTTGCAGCTTTCGGCCGCCGATCGCGGTGGTGATGCGATCGAGACCGTTCGCACCGATAGCGAAGTCGTTCTGCTCTTCCAATTCCTCTTCTTCTTCATCGAGGGTGATATCCCAATTATCATTATATTCGGCATTGAGGAGATATTGAAAAAGCAAGTTAAAGAATGCGGTCGGAAATTGTTGAACCTTGCGAGCAATCTTCGGCTGCTCCTCACAAAATGAAAGAAGAGATTCCACAGCCATGTGGCGAGCATTAGCGCTTACAGAAGGCGTTGCAGCAACCTGCATCATACCAGTTAACAATTCCACTGCGTGTCCTTCAAACAGTTGAGGGCTGTTTGAAATACCTTCGACAATAGACGCGGTAAATGCCTCAGCGCTATCCCAATCATTGGCGTTTAACCGCACCTGCACAACTTCCAGCATAGTAGGAACAAGAGCTGAAACTTTGGTGCTAAATCCAAGGGTTGCGAGGGAAATAGCAGCCTCAAATGCAGCACTCTTTACATTCAAGGCAGCACCCTGCGTCTGAAGACAGTTGCGTAAGCCAACAATAAGTAAATCAATGTGAGCTTCGAAGAATTTAGTCATTGTACTGGCCGTGGCAGAAATGATTTCGCAGCAAACTGCTTTTAGATCTTCCTGAGAGTCAGGTGAGCCAATGATGTCGAAAATACTTTTCCATAGCTCACTCCAACCCTGATGCAGTTCAAAAACGCGCACAGCCAAAGCGCTAACACATGCCGCGGCCGATCCTCGTTGTGTTCCAAACGCTGCTGTACCTAGTATCTGCAGTAGTCTGGCCTTAATAGCCTCCTTTGTTGTGGTATCAGCACCATCAAAGGGAGAGGGTCGGAGGTTAAAAAGCTTCCGTAGTAAAACAAGCCCAATTGCGCAGGTGGCTGAATCCTGAGTTGCGGCACATACCTCTGATAAAGCGTGCATCATCCATTCTGGGGTAGACTGAACAGTGCTATCATACTGAGCCTCAGCTGCTTTTCGGACCTCATTGTTGGTTGAGCGAAGATCAACTAAAAGCTGAGTAAGTTGCGCGTGATCCATTATTATATAACTTTAACACGTTATTATTATTACTATTATAGGTGTCTTATGGGTTATAGATTCTATTCAAGACACGAAAAAAGTTTAAAAACTAAAAATAGAGAAGAAAAATAGAAAGTACCTTTAGAAATAGTCTTGTTTCATAGATTTTTTTTATTTCCCATCGTTCAAGATCTATGATGAAAAAGGCATTTATTAATAAATATTATGCAAAATCTTTTTTGTTTGCTCTTTTCGCACGTGTAAATGGTATTAGATAATGTACTATAAGTAGTGAAGATGAAATCAAATGTCTTTTCAAAACCATGTGTTGATATGCTTAAATTTATTGGATAAAAAAGAAATATATATCAAATATATTATCAATAAATGGGTTTGCTTGAATATTGAAAAGAATAAAGTGATATAGGATACTATATGCTTCCGATACTAAACGCTTTATATAAGAACATCTTCGTTAAGAAAAATAATAATAATAAGTAACCTCACAATCGAATCCCATAGAATGCAGGTGAAAATAACTAAAAACGTAAATATTTGCAGTGCTTAATTCATCGGGAATAAAAGTCAGAGAATTTTTAAAAAAGCTATCGACTGTCAAGACACTGCAAAGATCACGCTACCTAGTAGATTCGAAAGGGGTTTTTTTTGTATCTCTCAATCCTTTCAACCAGGTCGCTGAGCTTTTATAGTGGCTCTAGAATATTTAAGTGGTAATATTACCTTAAATATTTTGTGCTTCACACAAGATCTAAATTTTTAACGGTAACCACTTCTTAGCACTCAGAAACGAAATAATCTATTGGTTAATTAAAGAAACATTGGTATAAAAATGTATTAGGTAAATATATCAAATATGATATATCCATAGCTTCAAAACTTACATTTTCAAAAATATTAACCTTTTCTATTGAAGGATTCATGAACAGTCGCGTGTTTAAATGTAAAGCTTTCCTCAAATTAAGTTTAAATAATCCATGTAAATGAGTTAAAACTATTTAAATATTGGTGCTTAGTGCTACAACATTTAAAAAACGATATCAATGAAAATGTCTAAATACTTTAGTGTATTTTAATATTCACATTTATCTAAGATTGGATTGTGGATAAATCTTATTTACAATAATTATATAAAGAAAGAAAGCGATCAATTGATAACATATAGTATTGATAATATACACTACTTGTTCTCTGTAATTGACTAAGTAACTTGTATATAGATTTTAATCTCATATTTAGTACAATCAATCATGTCTTAATTATCGTCACTTCAATTGTGTAATATAAAAACAAAATTAGAGGCTGATTGCTGAAAAGCCTTGTGAAGTTAGGTCTGTGAAAAGCATGGCGTAAACTTTAACTTCCCTTATTTGAATAGTTCATAGTGGAATATAATGATATTCGGCTGTTTTTGCTTTTAAGGCAAATCGTTTAGAAATGTTCAACGCCATAGACATTTCCTTTGTCAAATACTAAAGTAGTTTTTGCGTACTCTTTCATGATTTTTTTAAGCTATTTTTATATATAATGCATTCTTAGAATAGTTTTTCGAAAACTTTTATTTGTGCCGATAGATGTTTCGGTTCGTTGTTCTAATAATTACTCTAATTTAAAAAAAAATAATAATTAAAATAGAACCTCATACATCGGCCATAGACTAAGGATATGACAATATGTCTTCTTTCTTCATAACCTATACTTCACTAATCTAGAGAATAAGTTAAAAAAAAAGTTGAAAAGGGGAATTTAGAAGATTACATAAGCCAAAAAGGCAATAAATATGATATGAATACGAGGATTGGTGAAAAATACATTGGAAAATTTCAACTGGACAATATTAGTTGAAACTGGATGCATAAAAAACCTCACACATTACATTATTTACATTAACAAGCACTTTTTCTTACCATTATGGTCCTTTAATAAAGTATTTTGTTTTATGTAGTATGGATGAATCAAGGCAAACGAAATGAGTGAAGTAATTATTCACATTTATTCGAATTTGATGAAACAAATATATATATATATATATATATATATA